TGTTTTGTCTCTCATACACTTATTAAATAATAATTAGAAACATATGAGTTTTATTCCTTCTATGTTAAGCATCCTAAGCAAATTTTATAGAATTAAATATATATAAAAATAATTTTTTCTTTGCAAAAACTTAAAATGACTGTTATTTTAATAGGCATAACTAGTTAAAAATACATTATACTGAATTGGGTAACAAGACCTATAATAAAATTTTTTATAACTGTTGTTATAACAGGCCATCTAACCACAAACTACAGATTGAATAACTTAATATTTATTCAATGTTTAAGATCAGGTAGGAGGGATTGACAAAACTAGACTAAAAGTCAGTTTCACAAAAGAAATAGAGTTATTTCTAACTCTATTCATTACAATGCTTAAATACTAAAATCAAATAAACTCAAATACCTCAATATTATTACTCTAATTTACTAATCTCAAGAATTACCTTATAATTGCACTGATTAAATACTAATTGTAATTATTACTGCATAGTTAACCTAGTCTAATTCATTACTAATACAATCAATATACTAAGCCATGTTACTCATGTGACTGTAATAGAACATGTTATATGTCTAGTTACAAGTTGATTCGAGACAAAAGCTGCCTCGATACTATTGTATCAAGCAGCTATAATATGAATAATTCAAAAATCTCAGCCAAAATAATTATTAATAAATTAAATGTATTCTAATTATTTTCTGGCAAAAATGTGTAAATTTTTGAATTGTTTGTTATTTATCTATTAGGAATGGTGATTGTAAAGCAAGTTAAATATGTATATACAATTTTTATAATTGAGTAATCTAATACTTTAAAAGGTAGGTACCAGAAACAAAATGCCTCTGTATGAAAATCTTGAAATTGATTTGTTTATGTAACTTATTAATGATTCAATATTTTTTTAAAAAAACATAAATAAGTATATACATCTGTAAAATTGAAAATGCTATAACAAAGAATATCAAAAATAAGTTTTTTAGATACAAAAATTAGTATTCCAATATAAATTTAAAAGTCTCAATGCTAAATATTTGGTAATTTTTATTTTTTTCATTGAATTTTTTATTGGGCAGATAAAATAATAATCACTAATTGTCAAAGACTTAATCGAAAGAATTTGTTAATTATTTCTAAATACAGATATGTTTTATAGATCAGAACTGCTGAAATTCAAACCAATATTCAAATTGCAAGTGCTATCAATTTCTTTTATAAAGAGTTATTTTCTTATATCAGAAATAAATTACAATAAAGAATATGGTTTTTTGTGACTAAAATAATGTTTGTATAAAATTTTTCCATTCCTGGTTTCATGTAACAAGTTGCACAGCTACTTATTTGGTTATATAAATTGGTTATAGTATTTGAAGTAATGTCAAGTGTTTTAATATTTTTTTTTTTTTTAAATATTAATAGTAAGGCCATGCCTTTAACTTTATAGAAATTCAATTGAAGTTTTTACAAAGAAAAGCTTGCTTTTAAATTACATATGAAGAATAAAGACTCAGATATATAATCTGCGACCTAAACCTACAAGAGTGGCCAAGACTCATTTAGATTTAGGTTTGAATAATAATATAAGAGAAAGGGGTATGGTATTTAATCCATTGGATAGTCCAAAGATCAATTTTAGTAATAATTTGTGGTATTGAAATAGAAAGTAGAGGTGTGTTAGGAGAGTGACTATGAGTTGAGTTAGTAGAAAGTGTAGTTTGAGACTGAGCAGAACATGAAATACAGTATGGAATCCATATTTGTTTGTAAATTTGTTGGTTTAAGTGGAGAAAAAGTTTAATAGAAAGAGTAGTAGCAGTATGATAGGAAATAGAAGAATTGTAGATAGTAGAAATAAGGTTAATAGGAACTAGACCAGATAGAGTAGAAATAAGTAAAGGTATATGTGAAGAGTTATGCAGTTGAAACTGTTAAGTGTAAGGATTTCAGTATATAAATCAGAAACCAGATTGGTAGGCATATCAAGATTAGTTATATTTAAGATATTTTTAAAAGAATTAGAGATTAAGTAATAAATTGTTTGAGTTGATAGGCAGATAGTCCAATGAAGTGAGGAGCTGGTTTGGTTGCATTGATGACAGAAGGAAGAAAATGAAAAGTTACATTTATGAAGAATATGAGAGATTAAAAAAAAAATTTAATAATATTTATATATAAAAAAGTTAGTAAGTATAAATTTTTTTAAAAAGAGTGTGGTGACCTAATAAAGTGGTCAGGTTGTTAACCCTCAAATGGCAGGTCTAAAGTTCAAATTCTAGTATTGGTAAAAATTTGAAATTCTTTTTATGTTATAGTTAACTGTCTTCTGTTATTGGTTAGAATTAGATATCTATTATCTATGTTATATCAGTTTGATTAAAAGATCACATGACATTTATAAAATGATTGTACCTTATATAAAGGAACACAAACTAGTACTGAATAATATAAACCTATAATAAGTTCTTATGGTTATGTAAATAAAAAGAACCAGAAAAACAGAAACTTACTTAAAAGATTTAAGTAAAGAGATATCTTAAATTTTTGACAGTACTATTATAAAGACTAGACCTATGAAACAAATGTTTATAGTAGTTATAATTTTATTATATTATATATTATATAACTTGTACAAAAAGAGTATACAACTAGATATGCATATAACTTTTAGTTATTTATTTAAATAATCTTCTTATTAGTTCATATTAACTGTTATATTTGTAATTTACTAAGAGATTACTTATTTAAATACTTTAATTTATATACATATTAGATGAATAATATCTGATTTTTATATATTTAAGTGCTATCTAACCTAATATTAAGCCTTTTTTCTATATGTATGTTAAGCTATTATTTGTTTCAGAGCATATTACCTATATAACTATAAAATTTTAAATACTTATCTGTTAACTACCTTACTTACTTTATAGATTATTAACAGAACTATATTCTTGTAAAGTTTATTTAGATTTTAGTATCAACTTTACAGTATATTTTTAATATTTTAGTATATCTTTATTTTGTTTTCAAACTTTCAATTTAGATATTCTAATAGAATTATAACTTATTTTTAATATATTAAGTTTAATCTAATATATTTTTTCTTTGATTTGAATTCTAGTAATCTAGTTGATAATATCTTTTATCTTGAAATTCTTATTCACCTGATTTCTTTACATTAGTATCTGTTTCTAGATCTAAATTTTATAGTAATATTTTCAAAAATTCATGTTATTTTTTATTTAAATTTTTCCAAATAGACTTCTGTTTTTTTAGTTCTATAGATTTATACAATTATAAGAACTTATCTTGGGTTTGTATTATTTAATATTAATTTGTATTCTTTTGTGTAACTAAGATTGCATAGATTGCTTATAACTTGCTAGTCATACTGATGTAATCATAGTTTTAGATATTTGTTTCATCTGATTAACAAAAAATGATTATTATAATACAAGTAATTGTTCTTATCGATAGGTTTTAAACTTCCAATTTGTCATTTGGAAAAATAAAAACTTATTCATTTCATTAAATCACTATATCTTTTTTATTCTGATTTTAATTATACATTACACATAACTTATACATATAAGAAGGGTGTACAACTAGCCATACATGCAACTTTTGGTTACCTATTTAAATAGTTCATCTGCAGGTTCTATACTAGCTGCCATTAGATCATCATATTAATCGTTGCATGACCAATATCTTAAGCATACCAAATGCTTGGCAGATTAATAAATTTTATAAAACTTCAATAAAAGTCTTGGGTCTCCCAATTACATGGTTAGAACCACTGTTCCAAATTAAAGCACACGTGTTAAAAATTTTTTAACTTATACAGGTTATCTCATGTGTGCATTTCTTGAATTATATGTACTTCTTATTGACAATGTTATGAAAATATGTATTATCAAAATCAAATCAAACTTCAGAGTTACAAGGTTTTTTTACATCTCATTCCACTCATATCCTGTGCCATAAAAATTTTTTTGTTGGGCGCGAGGCATGTGCTGGGTATGCAGATCCCCGGTAAAACCCTGTAATTAGAGGTAGATGGCATCTAGAGAAGCAAAATACACAATTCTATTTAGAAGTCTCATTACGGTATGTTTGTGGAATTTAAGTATTAATATCAGATATAGTGCAATATTTACTATTTTATTTATTTTATTTACGTTATTGCAAATCACATACGTAAACATCGTCAAATTAATAATAATTTTGCATTAGCGTTAGTGAGAATTTTACTAATAGTTTACTATTTACTACAAGATCCATTGTCAGTTATACTTTTTCCTCAGAACCTTTTCTTACTAGCAGTTTTTTTTTGATTTCATATCTCAAAATTTCACCCAATAAAAAAGCTCTATATTTATCATACTTTTATGGGCATTTAAATAATGCACGTCCGTATTCTGCAAAGAATTCTTATGTATGTATGTATGTACGTACGTACGTGACATGTTAATATATGCCCATTTAAACAGCACATATGCCTTCAAATTGAATATCGATACACCGAAACTCATATTAATGAAGATATTGAAGTGTAGAAAATAAGATTTTATACAATTTAGCGTTAAAGTCAAAATATTTTCCAAATTAACTTAAAAATAAAATCTAATGTTACGCATGAGGTTTTTGAGTGTTACGTAGACGTCGAAAAATACTTATTTATTGCATATAAAGAGTATATGTAGTACCCTATTACAATAATTAAAATAGACTATGATAAACAAGAATCACTTGGTGTGATGTTACAAATGAATAAAGTCGGAGTCTTCATTGCGTCGATAAAAATGATAAATAAATTGTATAAAATTTTTTTTCCTTTCCGATTAAATATTACTAATTACATATAATCAGAAGGTAGAACATCTCTTCTTTATTCTATAAAAAAACCACTAACATATATTTCACAAATGATTCTAAATTATTGAAATAGTGACAAACTGTAAATTATTCTTTGATCATTCTATTTTAAACGCCAATACATGAATTATTTATCGAAAAAAGCCAAACCCTTTTTTAATCCTGCTAAAAAAAAGGCTGCTAAAGCACTCAAAGCGGGACAATATGCAGAGGCAGTCGAATATTATAATGGACTTATTGAAGACAATCCTGATAGTGTTTCTATGAGATGTGATCGTGGAGAAGCATATTTATATTTAAATGAATATGAAAAAGCTAAAGAAGATCTTGATATTTATATAAATAAAAAACAAGATGATGAACGTGGATATTATCTTAGAGGAATTGCTAATGACAAATTAAATCTTCGATGGGATGCGCTAAATGATTTAAATAAAGCACTCAGAATTAAACCTGATAGTCCTTTCGCTCTTGAATCTTTAAAAATTTGTGCAAGACATAACTATGATCTTGGGAACCGTGATAAAGCATTTAAAGAACTTAATTTAATCTTACAGGCATCTGTATATGATACATGGGCTTTGGAAATTCGGGGAAAAATGTATTATGAAAATAAACAATATCTAGATGCGTTACAAGATTTTAATTCATTTTTGGAAATTCAACCTGTCAGTGTTAGTATCTTAGAGTTAAGAGGAAATATTTATAGAAAATTAAACCAATATAAAGATGCTTTAAATGATTATAATCAAGCACTAAGGTTAAACCAAAATGATCCAAATATTTTAATAAATCGTTCAAAGACTCATATTTTTCAAAAACAATACAGTGATGCATTAAGAGATATCGAAAAATATTTATATTATGGTGGTGAACTTAATGCATCCGTATTAAAAAATCGTGGATTGATATATGCTGGTTTATCACGTTATAATGAAGCTATTACTGATTTTACTATGTCATTGGAAAATAAAGAGAAAGGATCAACTTATAGGCAACGTGCTCAGGTTTATCAAGCATTAAAACAGTATAAAGAAGCACTATCCGATTTGAATCATGCACTAATACTTGATGATTCTGACAAAGAATCCTTAATAATGCGTAATCAGGTTTATACAAAATTAAATAGGTGAGAAATACATTAATAAATCATATTAATAAATTTTTATTAAACAATTTATTCACTTGATTATTCATAGATTTGATGATGCTATAAACGGATTGACAAAGACATTGACTGTAAATCCAAATGATGTAAACGCACTATCTGATCGAGGCAGAAACTATATGGCTTTGAATAAACGATACGAAGCGATGATAGATATAGAAAGGGCCTTGTCGATAAATCCGAATCATATCCAAGCACTTTTAACACGCGCTAAGCTTTATCGAATGCAGGAAACGTATTCGGCTGCATTAAGCGATTTAAATACTGCAATCGAGATTGAACCAAGGAATCCAACCCTATTAAAAAGTAGAGGAAAAATTTATACATTGATAAATGAATACGAAAATGCAATCCAGGACTTAAATATAGCCATCGATAAAGAAAAACGTTCTTCTTCATTTAAATATCGAGGAAAGTCATTCTTAATGTTAGGAAAATACAAGGAAGCTATTGATGATTTCAGTGATGCATTAAACTTAAATCCAAAAAAGTCAAGTGTTTATTGTGATCGTAGTGAAGCTTATTTTCATATTGGAAAATATAAACATGCACTTACTGACATAAACAAATCTTTAGAATTCAATGAAAACGAGAAATCGTTTGAATTACGATCATTAATTCATGAAAAACTCCATCAAACAAAGACGGCCAAAACAGATTTGGATAAAGCTTTAAGTTTGTCACCACAAAGTACATCATTACTTTTACAAAGAGCAACCTTATTAGAGAAATTACAAAAATATCAAGAATCTTTAACAGATTGGGATGAATTATTACAAATTGATCCAAATAACATCATTGCATTGCAGGGTCGTGGAAAGATGCTCATAAAACTATGTAGATACGAAGAAGCAGAATCAACTTTCATTAAAATACTAGAAATGGATCCGAACAATCTGGATACCATTTGTTATCAGGCAGAAATTTACAAAGAGCAAAAGAATTATGAAAAGGCTATTGAAGTTTTAGTAAGGGGGTTAGAAAATGCACCCGGAGATACGAATACGCTTCATTTGTTTGTGGTTAAAGGGGATATTCATAGATTGCGAAAAGAATATGCAGAATCTCTAGAGGATTTAAACAAAGCACTAAATTTAGATCTTAATGTTATGGATATTGATAATAATGAACCTATAAATGATGATAAAAAATATAATGCGCTTGCATTATGTTATAGAGGATCAATATATCGAAATAATAAAGATAATGACAATGCTTTGAAAGATTTAAATGGTTCGTTAATGAATGATCCTAAAAACATTTTTGCATTATGTGAACGAGGTGCTGTCTACAGAGATAAAGGGAGTTTTAATGACGCTTGGAATGATATCGAAAATGCTCTGAAATTGTCAGAGGATAATGATGATGATTTAGAGTAAAATATTTATTACTATTACTATGATTATTATTATTATTATTACTCGCCTTAGGTTTACACTAGTGAAATACGTTGTTTTATTTATAGGTATTTATGTAAAATACCTACGTATATAGTGTATTATATATATTGTGTAGCGTGTTTTTTTAATATATAAATAAAGTTATTCTAAAAACAAAATGAGATATATATTTTTTATCGCAAATACTAGTATTTTGAAAATTTTGTTATTTTCTGATGTATACTTTATAAACAAGCGCAATTTATTTGTTACATTTTTAAATTATCAATACATAACTATTACAAAGAACAAACTTTTTTTTTGTTATTATATAATCGTATACTGAAGCTTTCAATAATCAATTGAATCATCAAAGACATACATAGATTTTGCTTCACCAGAGAACAGTTTAAATCTGTATTCCTTTTCGTGTGCAAAGAGTGATAAATTTTTAGTTGCATGTTAGCATAACAAATCCGTGTTTTTAATTTAACTTGAAACTATAAATGAATTTAACAACATTAAGGGCAAGCATTTATCAAGTGTCGAAAAATTCCTTATTTTGAAGTTGAAATACTTCGTATTCATCAACTGAAAATTTAGCGGTTGTATTTCTGATCGGTTTAGCATAATGTTTAAGGCGACAGAAACATCTTTCTTCTCTATTAAAATTACCTAACATAGCAAGATCTTCAGAACCAAAATGTGGTCCAAAATGCTCTATACTATTCTGCCAAATTGCCCGTTCTGAACTTGCTACTCGACTTAAAATAGAATTACCATTGCTCTTTAATGAAAAAATAAAGCTGTCATTTGTAGAATACCAGCCTCTTTCTTTTCCAATTGGAATTCTTAGAGGATTGAACCCACCAAGAATTTCCCCTGTTCCACTAACTTTTAAAATCACCAATGTATTATCGTACCCTTTACACTTACTAAGAAATGATTCCCCGTTAAATCCATCCCGACTACCTCTAGTAAGTAACTTGAATTTATATTGAAGTGGAATTGTGTATTTATATTCTGTAGGATTAATCCATGAAGTAATTTCAGCAGCATGCTTGGTAGAAATAATATTTGACTCTAACTCAAACTGTTGAGCGTTTTGTATTGGCGACGTAACTTTCATAGTAAATGACTTAGTTGAAACAATTTGATATCTTAATTCTGTGCTAATATTGTGCTGATTCTGTGGCTCAATTTTTGTTAATTCCCGTCGTCGTCGAGGCGGTAAAATTGGTGAAGTAACAATTTTATCTGGAGTCATGAATTTTTTCAAAATGTCTGTCCACAAATTTGGATCAAGAATCTTCTGATATGGGCGTAATTTCTCTAATACTTCTTCACCAGTAAATTCAAAAAATCTGATAAGGGGCAAACAATTTTTGAGCGTAGTTTTTAAAATTAAAAAATCAAGATCAGTCCATTGATTTTGATTAGAGGGGAGGGATGGATTTTGTGCAATTCCCCATTTAATAACTTGATCCCAAATTTTCGATTCATCCATTTGTAAATCATCTCGTTCTAAAATAGAAACAAATGCACTCTCAGGAAGAGTTACAAGATCGTCCGAATCAAACAGTAATTTAGGTTCTTTCGCAACTACATCTATACAATATTTTTGCAGTGTCTCAAGATTGTCATTGTCAATGGTGGCTTTATGAATTTTTGAAAAATTCGACTGGATCCAAAATTCGTGGTTCTGAATTAGATAATTTTCAGTATATTTGGCCAGTTCATCAAGTTGAAATTCATTAGCAATCATTAACGATTCAAATATTAAAGATGAATCCATATCTTCGAAAGAAATTATTCCACCATAGATGTACCTACATTATGAATCATTAAACAGAATACGCTTTTTTGCTGAACGAATATTTAAATTCAAGAATTCATAACCTATAACCTACGTGATTATGACTCTAAAAACGTCAACTGAAATGTTAGGTTTGCTGATTTCTTTAATATGATTTTCGTTGTAATCCAGTTCATCTAATTCATTAGAAAAATATGGACATCGAACGTATAAAATTCCAGAATGTAATTCGAAAGTTTCATTTTCAGTACCCTTCCCAACATGAATGATGATATCTCGACCTTTTCCACTTTTTAGGAGTATCAGAAGATCTGAGGACAAATTATTCAAAAATTTTGTCGACATAGTCATTCTTTATCTATTTAGTGTGAACCATGTTTTTGTGTGAGCCAATATCAATTTAAATAATTGTCATTGGTCCTTTTTATACCTTTTCTAATTGGTTGTTACTACTTTTATAATTTTTATTGGAAAAGCAGATGATATAATAGCAAAATATGACTGTCGGAATTCACTTGTCAGACCTTACAAATTAAGTTGATCAAACCAGTATTAATATTTCTTACTCTAGCGATCAAGTCTTTTAATTACAATATAAAATCATATAAATTTTCTTAATGAACTGCGTCATAAATCATGTCAATGTGATGATATTTTCTGATTTTATTCCGGCATTCACAACTAAGTCATTCGTTAGCAATTACATATGCATAATTTTAGATATTGCTTTCATGATAAAATTCGAAATTAAGACATGATATAACAATTCTAACACTGGTGAGCTTCTAATGGCTGTAATAATTAAACTAAATATCAATACCGTATTGTCGCCCCGGGCGTTATTTAAGGGCACATTGATTGAAGAGAGCTAATAATTAATTTAGCGGAAGACTTTTAATAATCAAAAATTATGATTTTCATTCGTTTTAATTAATAATTAGCTCTCTTCAAGCAATGTGTCTCGAAATAACGCCCCGGGACGTTATTTCGCGATGATACGGTACTAATTTTTTGAGCTCTAACACAAAGTTTTTCTTGAGCAAATTTACTACATATTTTGTTCAGTGGCTTCCGGGAAGATGCCTATAATTTCCATTTTAAAAATTATTTAAACTTTGAACAAACATATTTTAATACAAAAACCCATCCTTCTGATTCACAGAGTTCATTTTTTTGATTTATAAAGAACGACCACTTTTTTGATACTATCTTCATATGACTTAACTCTTTTAACCTTAATAAAAAGAGATCTTTTTTATGAATCAAAAAAATGAACCCTGTAAGTCAAACCGGATAAAATTATGTATTTTAATAATTTTATTAAAGAGGTTTGCTATTTATTACTAATAATGATATTATATTATATAATATAAAATTTTATAATAAAACTATTTTCAGATTATAATAAAAAAATTATAAAATTTTAAATATAAATCTTTGTTTGGTTTTAGCTTTAGCTTTTAACTTTATTTTAAAAATTTTAAAAATTGAATTTTTGTTATAATAAAAATTTAATTTTAATTAATTGTAAATTATAATTTAAACTAGCCTCTTGGGGATTAACGTTTTTATTCAGTATTATAGGATTTAGGGATTTATGGTTAAAACCTCAAAGGGATACTTTATATTAGAAAGTACAACTAGTTACACATATACTTTTGGTGTCTAATTTAAGTAGTTTGCTTTTATAGGTTTTACACTAGCTGTTATACTTGCAACTCAACTACAGGTATTGCTTTTTTAAACTTTTTGTAAAGCAATCCTTACTGTATTACTAAAACATTTTTGATATACTGTATATGTTAGTCAAAAAAATTCTAAATGCTTATTTATATTTTTAGAACACCTATTTTATTTCATGTAGTTAATTCTTAAGACATTATTATCAGAGTTTTTTATATTTTTTACATAGTTAATCTAGTTTTATATAACATATTATAGTTAGATTAATATTTACAGTTATAGATATTTTGTTAAACTATTATGTTACACTATTTGAATATTGTCAAAAGAAAACATGCCAATCTAAAAATAGAATTATGAATTTTATAATATCTATTTTTAGATTGTCAGATTTCTTTTAGTGAAACTCATTTTTATTCTTATAAAGTTTATCTAAACTCTAATAGTACTTATCTTTCTAATATTATTATTATCATTATTATATATTTTCTTATTTAATACTAATCAGATTTATTAAATTACCAATTCAAATAGTTCAATATAGTATATTTTTATATTTTTTTCATCTAATAAATTCTGATAACCTGATTAATTATGTGTTTTTTTATATCTATTATTATTTAATTTATTTAATACACTTTTTTTTTTTTTTTTTTTTTTTTTTAACATTGTTATAGAACGATTATTTTATTTTATTTTATTATTAGTATTTTTAGTTATTATTTTATTATTATTATTAGTATATTATTTTATATTGTTATACATGATGTAATACTTAGTTACT